TTTTTTTTTTTTTGGTACCGGGGATCGAACTCTGGTCCTTGCGCTTGCGCAGCAGGCGGCGAAACCACTGAGCTAAATCCCCAGCCCAGGAGCATCATTTCTTCCAGGGCACTCATGTGAAAGGAAGCCTGCCTCTTATTTCCTGCTACCCATACTGCACTGGGGCTACTTGCATCCCTGACATCCAGCCTGCTCTTACCTGCTGGCTTGGTGGGGCTGGCAGGGAGCCCAGCGGGTGAGGGGGAGGCCAGGGGCCCCTGCTGTTTCAGCGTCTGTTCTCTCAGGGACTCTGGGGCTGGGGCCAGGCTCCTGCTGGTGTTACTGGTGCCGCCCACCAGACTCAAGGGAACCACAGGCACCAGGGGCGGGGGCGGGACCTGGGTGACAACCGGAAATGTCACCAGAACCCTCAGCTGGGGTGGGTGTCAATCTCCCAGTGCTCAAACAGCAAGGCGGGCAGGGGGCGTCCCAGCCCTAGACACTCCCCAGCCTAACTCTTGGTTTCAAAGCACAGAATCCCACCCAGGAGCCAGGCTTGGTATAGGGGTGCACGCCTGCAATCCCAGAGCTAGGAGGCTGAGGCGGGAGGATCGCAAATTCATGGCCAGCCTGAGCTACACCGTGAGACCCTGTCTCAAAAGAAAAAAAAAATTCCCATTCTGGAGTTCACAGCATAACAGCATATTTGACCTGTGCCTCACTCTCCCTTTCTGTAAGTGGTAATAATAGCACATCTAACTTTCCAAACTTTTCTGTCAGCTCTGTAAATAGGGGCTGTCACAGAGCAACGATTTCATCCAAACCGGGCCCAGACAGGTTCCAGAATGCTGAGTGACTTGGCGAGATGGAGACAGTGGTTCTTTGGCCTTCACATAATAAGCTTTGGTACAGGATTCTATGACTATTCACATTAAGTGGATGAGGCAGGATCATTCACTAATGGCCACTAATCATGTCTGCACCCAAATAAGTAAGAGAGAAGGGGTAAGAAGCCAGTTTGGATCCCCCCCTCCCGGATTTCGGAACTGCGGATAAGAGATGGGGTTATCTGACACCCACTGCACAGGGCATGCACACAGCAAGCGGCCGCTGTTAGGAAAAGCCCCGCGGTTACCTGCTGCTGCTCGCCCGCGCCCCCGGGACACAGGCGCTCCAGGCGGGCGATGAGGCCGCTCTGCTGGCTGACAAGCCGCGCCAGCTCCCGGAACTTCTCGTCCAGCTGGTGGAAGCGGGCGGCGGCGCGCTGCGCCTCGGCGGATGCGTTCAGCACGCGCTCCCCAAGCAGAGCTAGCGCGGCGGCAGGCTCCGCCCCTAGATCCGCCTCCAATTTTGGCTCCACCCCAGGACTTGGCTCCGCCCCCGGACTCGGCCCAGCTTCATGGTGCAGCTGCGCGCGCAACTGGCCCAGGCGCGCGCTCAGACCGCGGCTCTCTTTGCGCAGCGCGCGCACCTCGCCGGCCACGGCGCCGTCCGCCGCCGCCAGCCGCTGCAGTTCGCGCAGCAGCTCCTCGTGGCGGCCTATGCGCATGCGCAGCGCCGCCACCTCACTGGCGTTGACGGCCTCGGGCGCGGGCCGTGCGGCCGCGCTCCAGCACACGGCGCCCGTGAACTTCTGCGCGGGCAGCACGAAAGTGTAGGTGCAGCGCGGCGCGCCCGCCCGCGCCCACGACGCGCCCAGCAGGAGCAGCAGCGGCAGCATGCGCAGCCGGGGCGCCGCCATGGCCACCTGCGGGGAACAGATGGGATGAGATTGAGAACAAAACAGACAAAAGTCCCTGCCCCAGAGAAGAGTCCCAGGCAGGGGCACAGGAGGTGCAAAAGCCCTGAGGCTTCTCCATTCCTAATGCATGAACCGAGGAGGCCAGGCAAAAAGCCGAGGCTGAGAGAGGCAAGGAGCTAACAAGTTCCGCTGCTCTGTAGAAGTGGAGCCCCTCAGACCAGGCATTGTGTCTGCACTTTGTCCACGTCAGATCCAGCCACCCGCCAGGCCTGGGTAAGCTGTGTTGTTTAGAACTGAATTCCTCAACGTCCCGCTTCCCCCTTCCCAGCAGCAGATAGCATCTGGATTTCCTTCCTGAAAATACCGCCCTCCACCTCCAGCCCTCTTCCCCCCACCCCCACGCACCCTGTGGATGTCTACAGACACCCAGGCCTTCACATCGGAACCCTCTCTGGCTCCCTCCTTCCCCAGAGAAGAAGCTCAAGTCTTCCTCATGGCCCATGAGTCCCTTCCCTGCCTCACCTCCTCCCAGAGGCCCCAGACAACACCAGGCAAATGCCAGACTCAGGGCCTTTGCACTTGCAGTCTCCTGAACTGGAGCATTCTTCACTTTGTAACGGCTCCCTGTCCTCAACCGGGTCTCAAAATCCCTAATGGACCCCTGCGTTTTGAGTTGACGCTCAAGCTGATGTGGTAGTGCTTAATTGTAATCCCAACCCCTCCAGAGGGTAAGGCAGGAGGATCCCGAGTTCGAGTCCTGCCTGGGCCACTTAAAACCTTATCTCAAATATCAAAAAAAAACATTTTTAAAGGGCGGGGGATGTAGCTCAGAGGTAGAGCACTCCTGAGTTGATCCCCAGTAGCAGAAAGAAAAAAAGAGTTGACCCTGTTCTAGTCTTCTACATTTGCCTATTTGTTCTCCTGAAATTACCACATTTATTTACCATTGTTTATGATCTGAATCCCCCTCATTAAAATATCAGCTCACTGAGTCCATGTCTGGGTTTTTTTCAATTTTTTTTGTTTTGTTTTGAGACAAGGTCTTCCTATATAGTTCAGGGCAGCCTTGAACTCACTATGGAGCCTGAACTGGCTTCAAAGTTTCATCAATCCTCCTGCCTCAGCCTCCCGAGTGCTGGGATTATAGGTATGCACCACCACGCCTGGGTAGAGTCAAGGTTTCTATTTGGTTCCCCTGTCCCCAAAGCCCCTGGGCCCTGGGTCTGTGTGCTGCCCCCGAGTCACTCCAGGCAATCACACCAGTGACCTCATGCAAGTGTCTTCCCTGAGGGTAGACACTGTGGCCATCCATCCTGACCCTGCAGGTCCACACACGGCCCCATGGCTCCCCTTCCTGGGCACACAGGGCCATCAGAAGAGGACCACCATGTGTGTGAGTGACACCAAACATCCTAGTGGCACACAGCCCGTGTCCTGCGGTCCCCATTAGCACACACTGTCCGGGAGCTTTGGAGGTAATGGGGATCCAGATGTACCTAAAACAGACAAAATCCCTACCTTTGGGGTCTGATACTCTGGCTGGAGAACAGTATGGAAAACCCAGTCAGGAAGCAAGACATGGTGGTGAGGCTAAGGCAGGAGGACCTCAAATTCAAGCCTGGCCTTAGTGACTTGGAACAGAGTGAGCAAGAGGAAGAGCAGGAGGAGACAGGGCAGAGAAGGAAGGTGGGGCACAGTGTGCAGGGTCTTTGCTTTGAGGAGGCCTCAGGGTTTTACTCTAAATCAAGTGGGAGCCATAGAGGGTTCCAGAACTGGAGCGGGACACTGGTGCCACTATTGTACAAGTGGGAGCTCGAAGGGCTGGCAATGTCTTTTCCTTTCCTCCCCCAGGTCAGGGATGGGCCAGACTCCTGGAGGCCAGAATGCGTGAAATCCACTGCTGCCCCTACCACCAGCCTGAACTAGGGGAGCCTAGTAGATAGAGGCCCGGGTCTCCCGACAGGCAGATCAACCCAGCTGCTCACCTTTCAGGACTAAGACCCGAATCCCGAGAGGTTCACCACAGGCTCGAGACGGCAAGGCAGAGCCCAAAGGTCCAGCAGGGCCTCTGAGCTGGGAAGGAGAGGCAAGAGAGGCTTTTGGAGCGCCCCCGCCCCCAAGTCTGGGAGAGGCGCAACTGTAAATATTTAGCATTTCCTCCGTGAGAACTGAGGCCAGATTGCCAGACCCCCTGGCCCAGCCACCAGAGCCTGATAACACAGGTCACTGCCCCAGGCCTCACTGTCTTCCTCCTGAGGAGCAGAGAGAGTGTGGGAGGTTGCAGGCCCTGGTCACAGGCCCTGGTTGGACCTGCAGGATTCAGGTGCAGCCCAGACACAAAGGGACAATGGTGGACAATGACAGCCACCTGCTGGGTGTCCCTTTTTATTTCTTATTTTGAGACAGGATCTCACTAAGCTGCTACATTGCCCAGACTAAGCTTCAATTTGGGATCCTCCTGCCTCAGCCTCCCAAATAGCTGGGATCACAAACATACTCCAACACATTTAGCTAAACTCTATACATTTTGTCTTATTTAATCACAGCAACCTAAGCTGGCTTCTGTGGGTAGCCTCATTTTGCAGGAGGGAAAACTAAGAAAAGGTGAGACATTTGCCTGGGGTCAGGCAGCCAGAGAGGAGCCACAGTGAGATTCAGACCAGGTTGCTTGGCTCCTGAACTCACACACGTATAAATCCATAAGAGTTGCACACAAGTGCATGCATAACAAAGACACACACTCATGCCAATAGCCAACAGGCTAAGATAGCAGGAACCCATGCCTGGCACACACACATATAACCTAAAGATGGAACTGAAGGACTGGGGTGTAGCCCAGTTGTAGAGGGCTTGTGTAGCACACACAAGGCCGTGGGTTGGAGCCCCAGCTCAAAGGAGAAAAAAAAGGGCAACAGTTGTGTGTTCAAAATACAGCCACGGGGCCGGGGATTTAGCTCAGTGGTTCCACCACCTGCCTCGAAAGCGCAAGGACCCGAGTTTGATCCCCGGTACCAAAAAACCCCCCAAAAACAAAAACAAAATACAGCCACAGCCGAGGATTTAGCTCAGTGGTTCCACCACCTGCCTCGAAAGCACAAGGATCCAAGTTCAATCCCTGGTACGAGAAAAAAAAAAAAAGAAAGAAAAATGGATTTTAGGGCCAGGAATTTAGCTCAGTGGTTCTGCTGCTTGCCTCACAAAATACAGCCACACATTTCTGGGCATGGTGGTGCATGCCTACAGTTCTAGCTACTGGGGAGGCCGAGGCAGGAGGATTGCAAGTTTGAGCCCAGCCTGGTCAACTTAGCAACTTAAGGGAGAGCCTTTGTCTCAAAATGAAAAATGGGGCTGGGGATTTAGCTCAGTGGTTCCGCCGCCTGCTTCGAAAGCACAAGGTCCTGAGTTTGATTCCCAGTACCAAAAGAAAAAAGAAAAGAAAAGAAAAAATGGCTGGGGATATAGTAGCTTAGTGCAGAGCACCTGGGTTCAATCCCCAGCATGGCACAAAATATATATGGTCACATATTCGGCACAACTTACAGGGGGATGACCACAGCCTAAAAGGGCCTCCCTGGCAGGCTGAGGGCAAGCACAGCGACAGTAAGCAGACACACAGCAACACCCAGGTACCCTACCGCCAAACTAGGAGTTTCCATTGGTCTCCCACACACTCGGTCACATTTTTGCATAAGTCAAACCACACACGGAACAAGAAGAAATAACCCTGTATTTATCTCTCCAAGAGACTCACCTCCTGCCCTGAGCCCAGCCCTGGGGATAGCAGCCTCTCGAAGATGAAGACGTGGTCTCCCCTGCTTCCCGCTGCCGCCGAAATCAGCTCCAGAGAAACCCGAGTGGACTCCGGGGCAGAGAGAGGAAATGGTCGTCCAGCACTGAGAGAGGCTGCCAGGCTGGGCTGCCGGCCTAGACTGGGGCCCCCACACCGGGCCCCCCATCCGCAGCCCCCTCCTGCTCCTGAACTGGCAGCCAGGAGAAGACACCACAGGCGAGGGAGGGAGAGACCTGCGGAGATGATGGGAAGAACATCAGGAGGCAGGGAGAGAGCTCCAGTGAAGAAATGGGGATGGGAACAGAGACATAAGGAAGATGGAAATTTATCGATGGTGAAAGAGATCATGGATAGCTGGATGTGGTGGCACAAGCCTGTGATCCCAGCACTCTGGAGGCTGACTCAGGAGGATCACAAGTTCCAGCCCAGCCTGCACAACTTAGTGACTTAGTGAGACCCTGACTCAAAGTAAAAGCTAGGATTAAAAAAAGGCTAGGGAAGTAGCTCAGTGTAAAGGCCCTGGGGTTCAATCTTCAGCACTGCAAAATTAGAAGGAAAAAAAAGAGAGAGATAATTGATGACATTTTGACAAAGTTGGGAGTCAGGGAGCTAGAGATGGATGGGAGGAACGGGTGGGGAAGGGAGACAATTTGGGGAAAGGAGAAGGAAATAGAGGTGGGGGATGGGAGGGGGAAGCTGACGGGAGGGGATAGAAGCATTTAGCCCGGGAGGGTGACTCTGCCCTCCACCACAGGTTTTGGGGAAGAAGCCAGAGCCCTGAGGCTGAGACCGGAGCTTTCAACGGAAAGAGGGAGGAGGTGAATTATTCAGAGAGGCTGGCTGGCCTTACCCAGAGTTTCCAGAGGTGATGTGGAGTTTCCATCCCTCAGCCCACCTGCAGGGAAGGTCCTCAGGGAAGCTGGCCCGCAGAGCTGGGGGACAAAAATGAATGTCTGCCACAGGCCCTCTGTTGTTCTCCTTACTGCTTCCCCAGGGCTGGTGCTGGTAGCAAGCACAGTATATACATAATCTCTTAATTCCTCAGGTCAGGGGAGAGAGTATCATCCTCAATTTAGAACATATTTGGAGCCTTGGGATGGAGAAAACTGTCACGATGACAAAGCTGGCGCAAATGGACCAAGGCGGGATTCGAACCGGTGAATCTGTGTCTCCGCTGCCTAGGAACTGCACAGCCCCGCCCTGGTTTCTGTAGAAACAGGCACCCGGTGTCTCCATAGCAATGCCTCCAGTAAATTCCACCCCCCCCAGGCTACCTACTGCGCATGCCTGGGAGCTGAGGTCACCGGGCCAGGCGCCGGAAGTGAGCCTCTCAGCGCCGGAAGCGACCGGCAAAGGCGACCTCGTGGAGAAGGTGGAATGGGGCAGTCTGGAAGGGTAAGTGGTGGCGCCTCAGGAAGCAGGGAGCGTCGGTGGGTCCAGTCCGAGGTCGCGACGCTCACTATTTTATACTGTTGACCCCGCAGTCCCGGCACCAGAAGCGTGCGCGCGCCCAAGCAAAGCTCTCCAACCTCGAGGCCTATGCCACGCAGCCGCACTCTTTCGTCTTCACTAGGGGCCGCACGGGGCGCAGCGTCCGGCAGCTCAGCCTGGATGTGCGGAGGGTCATGGAGCCGCTCACCGCCACCCGCCTGCAGGTCCTCCCTGCCCTGGGCATCACGGCTGCAGAACGGGACCTTTGTTGGGGGGGGACGTTTTCCCTCTCTGGAATTTGGGGTGTTGTAGCCCGGGCAAGCAGCTTGGGGGACTTAGTGGGGGCCTGGGCCTAACGGTAAAAACTTGAGGGCCGGGGATTTAGCTCAGTGGTTTCTCCGCCTGCTGCGCAAGCGCAAGGACCCGAGTTCGATCCCCGGTACCAAAAAAAAAAAAAAAAAAAGAAAGAAAAGAAAACTTGAGTGGAGCCTGGTGTGGTGGCACAGCCTGTAATCCCAGCACTGGGGAGGCTGAGGCCGGAGGATCGCCGCGAGTTCCAGACCGGCCTGGGCAACGTAGAGAGCTCAAGGCCGCCCTGAACTACATAGCCAGACCCAGTCTTAAGAAACCAAAACCAAAAGAACCTAAATAGGGCCAGGGATTTAGCTCAGTGATTCCACTGCCTACCTTGCAAGTGCAAGGTCCCGAGTTCAATCCCCAGTATAGAAAAAAAAAAAAAAGAAAATTGGCTGGGGATTTAGCTCAGTGGTTCCGCCACCTGCCTCGCAAGTGGATGGACCCAAGTTCGATCCCCAGTACCAAGAAAAAAAAAAAAAGAGAACCTAAATAAATGTAGGTACTGGAGGTAAAGTAGAGAGCACTTGTCCTGCATGTGTGAGGTCCTGGGTTGCATCCCAGCACGGCGGAAAAGGAAAAGTTCACACGCAAAGAACGTAACTGGACCCTGGGCTAAAGTGAATCACCTTCGCCCAGAAGAGATATCTCATTTTCATCCCTTTTCCTTTTTGTAATCTCCAGGTTCGCAAGAAGAACACACTGAAGGACTGTGTGGCCGTGGCCGGGCCCCTGGGAGTCACGCATTTCCTGATCCTGAGCAAAACTGACAGCAGTATCTACTTGGTGATTGCCCCCACACCCTCCACCCCCCCCAGCCCCACCCTGCCCATCTCTCAGGATGAACCCAGTGCCTCTGAGCTGCTGTGATTCTGGCTTCAAAGTAAACGCTCTGAAGAGAGGGGCGGAGGTCCCTGCTCGCCCTGCCTGCCCGGTACCTCCGCCCTGACCATCTTCTCCTCCCATAGAAGCTCATGCGCCTTCCGGGAGGCCCCACCTTGACCTTCCAGATCAATAAGGTGAGGGGCAGAGGGCAGAGGGCCTTGGGTAGGAGCTGGGCTCAGGGGCAGCCACCCACCCTTCACCCTCCCTACAGTACACACTTGTGCGCGATGTGGTCTCCTCGCTGCGACGGCACCGCATGCACGAGCAGCAGTTCACCCACCCGCCTCTGCTCGTGCTCAACAGCTTCGGCCCCCACGGCATGCATGTGAAGCTCATGGCCACCATGTTCCAGAACCTGTTCCCCTCCATCAACGTGCACAAGGTGGGCTACCCCTCAAGTGGCAGCGTGGGTGGGTGGGCCAGGCAGCAGTGCCACAGGATGCCTTGTTGTGGCCTCCTTCTGCAGAGGGAAATTGAGGCATGCAGCGATGGAGCCATTCACTTGAGGTTGTGTTCAAGGGGCCAAGACTGGAGGTTTTGTTTCATTTTGATGGGATCCTGAGTGTACGTGGCCTTGGATGTTTTAAGCAAGCACTTGGTCTCTGAGATGCACATAAGCTCCTTATCCCTGGCAACAATGGGTCTCATGTTAGGAGATTTTTTTTTTTTCCTTTGGGTGCTGGGGATCAAACTCAGGACCTTGTACTTTCGAGGCAGGTGGCTGTGCCACTGAGCTAAATCCCCAGCAAGCTCTCGTGTTAGGGATGCCACTCAACTGGGTGTGGTGGGACTGTTGTAATCCCACAGTCTGGGGTGCCCGGGCAGGTGGATCACAAGTTTGAGCCGAACCTGAGGAATTTGGTGACTTGACACCAAGGCCCTGTTTCAAAATAAAAAATACAAAGGGGTGGGGCTGGAACTCAGTACAAAAGTCCTAGGTTTAACCCCCAGTATTGCAAGAAAGAGGAAAAGTGCCACTTAGGAAATCTGATGTGAGCAGCTTCTGTGGGCCCCAGAACCAGAGTTTCTAACCAGTGCCCTGGGCAGCTTGTGGAGGCTGCCGGCCATCCCACCAGCCTGCGTGGGTTCCCAGCACCACCGCACAACGCGACACAGGGCTGAGGGAGTGTGCAGCAAAGTGGTCCTGCCTGCCTAGGGTCAGTGGCTTCCGCGCACAGGCCTGGCAGCTCTCATGGTCCCCTCCTGTACTCCAGGTGAACCTGAACACCATCAGGCGCTGCCTCCTCATTAACTACAACCCCGACTCGAAGGAGCTAGACTTCCGCCATTAGTGAGTGGGCCAGGCTATGGGGGCGAGGGGCCAGGCTGGGCTGCGGCTGATGACCACACTGCTGCTGAGACTCTGTGATTGGTCAGTCTCAAAGTAAACGCGCTGACACTCGGGAGGAGGGGAGGAGCAGGGCCTCCCTGCACCACGACCCTGACCCCATCTGCCCCTGCAGCAGCATCAAGGTTGTCCCCGTGGGTGCCAGCCGGGGCATGAAGAAGCTGCTGCAGGAGAAGTTCCCCAACATGAGCCGCCTACAGGACATCAGCGAGCTGCTGGCCACGTGAGCAGTGCAGTGATGGGGGCAGGAGTGCCCGTGAGGCAGCCCCTGCTGAGCCTCATGTTTCCCCATTCCCACAGGGGCGCTGGGCTGTCGGACAGCGAGGCAGAGCCCGATGGTGAGCACAATATTACAGAGCTGCCGCAGGCTGTGGCAGGGCGCGGCAACATGCGGGCCCAGCAGAGTGCCGTGCGGCTCACAGAGGTGAGGCTCAGGCCGGGGGACCCTGGCGGCCCCAGCACCGAGGACCACCTGACGTACCCCTCACCTCCCCTAGATCGGTCCGAGGATGACGCTGCAGCTCATCAAGATCCAGGAGGGTGTCGGCGAGGGCAGCGTGCTCTTCCACAGTTTTGGTGAGGTGGGGAGGGGTGGCTGGGTGGCTGAAGAGCTGGGGCCCCTGGGGCCTCCGTGAACCCTGTATCCCCGCACAGTGCACAAGACAGAGGAGGAGCTCCAGGCCATGCTGGCGGCCAAGGAGGAGAAGCTGCAGCTCAAGGCACAGAGGCAGGAGCAGCAGGCCCAGAACGTGCAGCGCAAGCTTGAGCAGCGTGCGGCCCACAAGTGCGTAGTGGCCACCAGGGCCAGGGCTGGGGATCGGGGACCGGGGCAGGTGGATGGATCCCCAGCTGCCCTGTGACTGACGTCACCTCCTCCAGGAAGAAGAGCCTGGCAGGCATGAAGAGACCACGGGCTGGGGCTGATGGGGACAGCGACGCTGAGGACCCAGGAGTACCCCTAGAGGCAGAGGGGCCTAGCCGCCGGTGGCAGGAGGAGGAGGAGGAAGAGGATGAAGCCGAGTACTTCCGCCAGGCTGTGGGCGAGGAGCCTGATGAGGGTGTGTGGTGGGGTCCTGAGTGGGGCTCCCGGGGCCTGTCCTTGTTGACGGAGGTTCCTGACACAGTGTCTCCCCACAGACATGTTCCCCAGGGCCAAGCGGAGACGGCTCGCTGGGCCCCCAGGCAAGAAGCAGGTGAAGGAGCCGAGGCCTCGAGGCCGGGGTCAGGGCACTGGCCAGAGGCTGCCCAAGCCCCAAGGCAGGCCCCGTGGAGCCCCGGCCAAGCTGGGACACAGAAGGGGTGGCCAGGGCCAAGGCCAGGGGCGGCTGTCCAGGAGAGGGCCCTGAGCCTAGCCCTGCAGAGCATGGACGCCCCAGATTGGGGCCCGAGCGGCACCCTGAGGCCCTCGGTTTCCTTTCATAAAGGAGCTGCTGTCCCCACTTTCCCCTGCAATAAAGGAGCAACCCTGCCTGAGTCTGCTTTTGAGATGGGGGACAGCATGGGGACAGCAGCGCCCCAGCTTCCGGTGCTGGGGTCGTCCCGGCCCTGTCTGCCCTGCCAGGGTGGTGGAATGAGGAAGTGGAAGCGCCTGGATGTGAGACAGTGCCGCCCACACGCTCTGCAGACTGAGGTTGCCGCTGGCAGCAAGGGAGGGTCCTAGTTCCGGTCTCAGAACCTGACAGAGGCTTGCAGGAGACTGCGTAGGTTACAGGCCAGGAGGCTGGGTGTGTGAGCAGGAACATGGCAGCCGCAGTGTCAGGTGAGGAGCAGGCTTGGGCTGGCTGCCAGTCTGGGTACCTGTGCAGGCCTTGGACCCTGCTGTGTGGATATAGTTGGTGGCAGTGGGGCTGGCTGGGCCCCAAGAGGGAGATGGGTTGGGGCGGGGATTTAGTTCGATTCTGTTGCCTGCCTCAAAAGCGTAAGGTCCTAAGTTTGATTCCCAATAACAAAAAAGATGAGTTAGGACCTGAGTCCGGAGGGACTTCAGAGCCCAGGGGACTCCGAGGCAGGTCAAGGAGAGGGAGCTGTTTCCCAGACCTGGGGGTGGTGGAGAGGGGACCCATGGGCTCAGCACCAAAGCTGTTGTGTCTCACCCACCGTGGGTACTGGGGAGCCAGGGGTGGATAGTTGGCACCCTCCCCTGCTGGGAGGAGGGTTGGAGGGGACCTGTGGGCACCGGGTGGGTATAAGCCCTTAAGGTTAGGGAGGTCACGCCTCTCCCAGGCCAAGCAGGAAACCAGGGAGGGGGCTGAGGGCAGGGCGACTGCAAGCACTGCCGTACAAAGGCCATGGGCAGGACACCTTGCAGCAGCCACTGGTGGTTAGGGTGTGGGGTCATGGCTGGAGACAGGCAAGAGTGGGGGTTGGATGCCTGCAAAGCGTGACAGGAACCCGCCCTTTCATGATTTTGCTTGCTTTGTGGTGCTAGGGCTCAAACCCAGGGCCCTGTACATGTGCATGCACCGTTTGCTGTGGCGGTGGCCTTGGAGTGCTGCCAGGGGAACTTGACTCCGCGCACACAAGCGCCCTCTCGAGGTGGTGGGAGTGAGGGCAGCCTGCCGACGGTGGGGCTGACCAGTGGTGTCACAGGCCCTAGCCTTCCGGTTTCACTTGTTAGAAGTAGCAGAGACTGGCCCTGCACAACGTGTCACTAAGGGTCACAGCCACTGACACCTCTGCCTACAGGTGCCAGGCCCTGTAACTTCTCGGCAGCCGCCAACCACGTGCTCAGCAGCTACCAGGAAAACTTCCTGTGCCCCGTCCTGATAGCCGAGTTCCTGGTGGCCGTGGCTGGCAATGGCCTGGCCCTGTACCGCTTCTGCACCCAGGAGCCGTGGCCCTGGAACCCAGCTGTGGTCTTCTCGGCACAGCTGGCAGTCAGCAACCTGCTCTATGCACTGACGCTTCCCGCACTGGTTGCCTACCTCTACCCGCCCAAGAACTGGGCCTATGGTGCGGTGGCCTGCCGCCTGGAGCGCTTCCTCTTCACCTGCAACCTGCTGGGCGGCATCATTTTCCTCACCTGCATCAGCCTTAACCGCTACCTGGGCGTCGCCCACCCCTTCTTCGCACGCAGCCACCTGCAGCCCAAGCACGCCTGGGCCACCAGTGTTGCTGGCTGGGGCCTGGCTGCCCTGCTGGCCGCCCCCACACTCGGCTTCTCGGGCCTCAAGGAGCCGGTGGTGGTGGGCGAGTGCAGCGTGGCCAGGCCTGAGGCCTGCACTGAGTGCCTGGGGACAGCCGACAGCCACCAGCTCGGGGGCTACAGAGCCTACAGCCTGGCGCTGGCGGGGCTGGGTGGGGCGCTGCCACTGCTGCTCTCACTGGCAGCCTACAGTGCCCTGGGCCAGGCTGTGTTGCGCAGCTCTGGACTGAGGGCAGCTGAGCAGCTGCGCGTGGTGGTGCTGGTGGCCAGCGGAGTGGCCCTGTATGCTGTCTCCTATGTGCCCTACCACGTCACACACGTGCTCAACGTGGACGCCCGACGGCGCTGGCTAGCACACTGCCCAGACTTCACCAGCGAGGCACAGGCCAAGCGGGCACTGGAGCTCGGGCCCTTCCTGGGCTACCAGGTGACGCGCGGCCTTGTGCCCCTGGCCATCTGCATCCACCCACTGCTCTACATGGCTGTGGCACCCAGCTTGGGCTGCTGCATGGGGCACAGGGGTCCCGAGGACAGGAGCCTCGGCCACCAGGACCTGCCTCTCTCCACCAGTGCCACCGCCACAGCCTCAGCGCCCCAGTGCCTGGCCCATCTCCAGCCCAGTTCCTCACAAGGCACTGGGAGGTGAGGACCCAGGGCACAACAGGCCCTCGGCCACTTCCTCCCCAAAGGCTGGCACCCACCCTCAGGTGGGACAGAACAGCAGCACACAGTCCCCACCCGAGGCACACCCAGCCTGGGGAGGGGACGGACAATGAACAGGACACAGGCCGGGCGCTGTCAGCCTTTTACTGTCCGTGGAGTCCCAGCTTGTGGAGCCCACCGGGTGTCAATGGGGACCTGGACAGCGGCAGCAACGCCTGGCTCAGTTGGTCGATGGCCTAGAGGACAGAGGCGGAGAAGGTGTCAGGTGTGGGAGCTCCGGCCCTGAAGGGTACCCTGAGACCCTCCACACACACGTGGGACTCTGTGGGGACAGGGGAGGGCAGCGCAGTGACAAAGGCCACACTGGGGGTTCCGAGCCAAGCCCGGACACTGTCCTGGGCCAGGCTCTGCCTGTCTGCCCTCTGCAGGGTTTCTGAGAGAAAATAAAGGACATGACCTCACACAGGCCAGGGGACTGTCGAGTTGTGTGGGGCCCGTGTCAGCCCCAGGGGACAGGCCCGGCAGGGTCTTACTTGGCCCACTCCACGTTGAGGATGAGGTGGTCATAGCCGAAGCCGGACACCCCGGCAATGGCACGTCCAGCGTCCTCCCGGCGGTGGAAGCTGATGAACGCGAAGCCCTGGGGGATAGGACGGGTCAGGCGGGGACCGGAGCCAGGGCGAAGGCCCCACACACCTGCCCGGCCCACAGCCGCCACACACCTTGGACTGCCCCGTGGTCTTGTCCTTGGCCAGGTAGATGCGCGAGATGGACCCAAAGGGCCGGAAGAGCTCCTGCAGGTCGGTCTCCCGCGTGTCCTCGGACAGGTTGGTGACTCGGATGGTGGCATTGTCGTCAGCTGTGGGGAGCAGGACTAGCTGTAGCCAAGCCCCTCCCGGTCCCCACAAATGCCATGCAGGGTAATTACAGGGTGCCCGGCGTCCCTGCCCGGCACCCGGGCCTCACCTCTGCGGTTAGGCTGCATGGACTCCCCGCGGCGGCTGGCCCCGTCCCGCAGGCTGGGCGGCACGTACTTCCCCGTCTTGCTCTGCGCTGCCTGTACTGGCTCCAGCTCTGGGCACCAAAGGCACAGTCAGGGGCCCTCGTCCTGTGCCCTGAGCCACAGACCCGCCCCCTGCACTGCCACCCTGGCCGTGTGTGGCCTCTCCCAGGCCTCCAGAACCCCAGTAGCTACGACAGCACCAAGGAGGTGCATACAGGAAGCCAACACCCTCCCAGCCCCACTGGCAGGGTGAGCGCCCACAGGGACAGATGCGGTCCCAGGTGCCAGGCTCACAGCACCCAGGGGTAGCAGGGGGAGGGACAGTCCCTAGGTTGCACAGACAACTCTCATGGAAGCTACAGCAAGGGAGCCACCCAGACAGATGCCACCAGCAAATCACACAGAAGGACTCGGACTGTAGATAGTCACATGTGCATCCTGTAGACACAAACACACGCACACACGGGAAGTGCCGGCCTGTCGGGCTACACACTGCATGCTCAAAACAGGTCTGGACGCCGACCAAGTTACGGACGCTGCTATGTGGGACGGGACAGCTGGTGACAACAGGTTCCACTCTGCCTGGCCCGCACCTCCTGGCAGCTTCTCCTTCTCGCCGGTGGACAGGCCCAGCTGCTCAGCCAGCTCCTTCTGCATGGGCCCCAGCGTGTCCTTGTAGGGGCAGCGCGTGGTCCAGTGGTCACCCTTGCAGATGCGGCATGACACGATCTTCTGGCCCTTGAGCTTGTTCATCGGGTCCTCCTCCTCCTGGCAGTTCAGGTCCTGTGGGGGTGCAGGAGCTTAAGAGGGGGCTGTGCAGCCCTCACCCCTCCCCGGGCACTGCCCTGCCCCGCTGAGCTACCCACCTCCTTGCTGGTGATGAATGTCATGGAGACATCGTCGCTGACTGTGGTGGTGGCCACGTTGGGCCCTGGTGGGTCAAACTCTGAGTTCCCGAACTTCTTCCAGTTCTGGGCTCAGGGAGGGAGAGAGGGCAAGTCAAGACACAGGGAGCTGGGGTCACAGCCTGGGGCACCCAGACATAACCGCTACCCCCAGAGTATCTGGACCTTGAACCCCATTTTTTTCTTTTTTGGCAGTACTAGGGATTGAACCCAGGGCCTTTGCACCGAGCTACATCCCCATTCTTATTTTCTGAGACATAGCCAGAGTCGACCAAGCTGTGCTAGACTTTGTGATCCTTCTGCCTCTGCTTCCCCAAGTGCAGGGACTACAGGTGTGCTCTACCACAACCAGACTTGTCCCCCATTTTCACCATCTGCAAACACTCCCCAAGACAGTAACAGTGAAAGTTCCTAAGCATGTTGTGCCAGGCCCCAGCTCCACACCAGCCCTGGGAGGCAGGGGCAGCTATGAGCCACATGAGCGCTCTAGGTAAAAGCAAGGTGTGTGAGATGGGACAGCTGCAGAGCCAACAATTCCTGGGGCACCCAGTGGGCCACCAGGGACCAGGGCTCAGCATCCTCCCTATAAAATGAGGACCACAAACTGGACATGGTAAGGCAAACCTGTCCTATAATCCCAGCACTCTAGGAGGCTGAGGCAGGAGAATCCCACCTTTGAGCCTCATGTAGGCAACTTAGCAAGACCCTGTCTTAAAAAACAGAGGTGGGACCAACTCCCCACAAGGAATGTGAACATCATATACCACACACAGGTAATACATTGAGAAACAAAATAGGAGTGGGAATTTAGCTCAGTGTGAAGGCCCTTGGTTTAATCCCTAACATTGCAAAATAAATAATAACAAGGATGTTGATGATAATCTACCCAACCCACTCTCACACCCCAGACTTCTGAGGGTCTTACAAACTCTGTCTCAAGCAGGGATTCCCAATTCCCCTGGGTCAGCCCCGGGGGAGCCCCCAAAGGGAGAATAAGGGTCTCACCTTCCTCCTTGCAACAGCCTTCGAGGCCTTCCGGGTCTCGATCCTGAAGGTTCGGACAATCTGCAGGCGGCAGGGGAGCGGGTCAAGGCTTCCTGTGTCTCCAGGTTCCTGGGACCAGGGGCTCTTATTTGCTGACCCCGGTCCAAGTGTCCCCAACCACAACGGCACTTCGCCCCTTGGCCCTGCCCCAGCCTTGCCTTAAACTTTTTGCCATCCTCATCTATCTTGTATTCTGTCACCGTCTTTGTGTTTCCGTTGATGACCTCTTTGGGAGGCGGCAGTGGGGCTGGAAAGGATAAAGAGAGCTGAGCCCTGGGTGCCGAGGACTGGGTGGATTCAAGGCTGGGAAGGGGCAGAAATCCTCACTCACCTCCAGGCAGGAGCTCAGGCTCTGGGCTGGTGTCGCCAGTGGCCAGGGGGATCCCCTTGAGGAGCTCGCTGGTGACACACTTGTCTGCCAGGAGGACAGTGGGGAGGGAGGGTCAGCGGGGGAAGAGAGGACCCCCAAACTGAGCCCGACTTTGGGGAGCGGAGGCTAGGCAGAGAGCTGGTCTAGCATCGTGCTGGCGACGAGGGGGTGACTTCGAGTAGGGGCAAAAGTAAGGGATCCCTGGCGTGAAGGTGGGCGTCAGGCGGTTCCAACTTTCACAGCAGGGCAGCTGTGAGGACTCGGGCAGGGGCATCGAAGTTGGCAAAAGGGTGGCCAGGACGGGGTGTGAGGGTCACACTGGCCGGGCTGGGGCTGCCTCGGCGACTCGGGGCGACCAGGCATCGTGCTCACCGTCCTCGCCCTCCTCTTCCACTTGGTCGGCCCAGCTGGGCTTCGAACTGCGGAACAAGTTTTCGGGGAGGAGAGGGCTGGGTTAGCGAGGCCCCGCATCCGCGGCCCCGGCGCACCTCGGGCCCTTAGCACTCCCCAGAGCCCCTAAATCAGCTCTCGAGTTCCCCTCCGGGAGCCCGTACTCACTCAAAGTCTCCGGTCGGCATTGCTAATTCCGCGCTCCACGCAGCCCTAGCCCGGGCCAGAGAGCGGAAGAAGAGAACGAGACTTCCGGTGATCCGCCCGTTGCCTAGAGCGACCCAGCCGCGGTGTACATAGCGCCCCCTGCGGACGGAGGTGGAGACGCCGGATGTGCGCACGCAACGGGGCGCGGCAGGTACAGTAGGGGGAGAAAGGGGCGTCTGTTTATCCTGTTACATTTTAATAATAATAATAATGTTAAATTTTTTTGCTTGTTTTTTAATTTTTTGAGACAGTGTCTCGCTATGTAGTTCAGGCTGGCCTCAAACTCACTGCAACCCTCCCCCCTCAGCCCTCCGAGTGCTGGCTGGGATCACAGGCATGCGCCACCATGCCCGGGGTTTTTTTGCTTGTTTTTTTGTTTGTTTGTTTTCTGGTACCGAGGATCGAATTCAGGACCTTGGGCTTATTTTGCTTGTCTTTTTAAGACAGGATTTCGTCATGTAGTTCAGGCTGGCCTTAAACTCACTGTGTAGCCCAGACTGGCCTCGAATTTGTGGTGATCCTGCCTCAGCCTCCCAGATGCTGGGATGATAGGTGTGCGCCCCCATACCCGACCATTCTCTTTATTCTTGAAGCTGTAGGAATGTAAGGGTCGCTGAAGTATTTTGAATAGTGTCCTGGTGTGACCCTACTTTTCTTCTAAAAAAAACTATTGTGGAAGCCAGTAGAGGGCAGACTGGAAGGGAATAAAATAGCAGAACAAGGAGACCGAGAGTAAGGTTTTCGCACGTAGGCCTGCACATGTCCATAGGTGACTTTGTGACATCTGGAGGCCAAAACCTCCCACCCTCAGATCAGGCTAAGGAGGCATTTTCCGAGCATGCATGGCGTAGGTTCAGGAAGACGGAGTACGCATGCGCAGCCTGCTGACTACCTCCCACCCCATTTCCCCGCTCCTTAAATCGCGCGGAGTCCTATACCCTGCCCGCCAACGCTACCTGTACTGGGAGCTGGACCTAGGGCCTTAGCACCGAGCTCCAGCCCAGCCCTTTTTATGAAATATTTTGAGACAGTCTCACTATTTGCTCAGTTGCAGAGCGTAGATGTGCACTTGCGATCCTCCTGCCTCAGCCTCAGTGCTGAGATGGCAGCCCTGGGCCACCTCACCCGGCATCACCTTGCTTCTTCACTCAGAAGTTCCTTTGAACCGATCTTCTCGGAGGCAGATTTGAGACTTGGGTCTCCCACCTCCAGGTGTGG